ATATATATATATATATATGTATATACAGAATGAATTCTGCATAGTTCACTGATGTGAGAGCGGGAAAATGCGGCACCGCCACACACCACGGCAGATGCTAAGACTCTTCCCCACCTCATCCATCTACACACACACACACACACAGACACATTCATTACCACATTGAGCGGCTTCGACCGTACCACGAAGAGCTTGTGTTGAATGATGCGCGCTTTGACCCTGAAACGCCGCCGTTGCTGCTATTGTTCACACTTCCATCGAGCGCCACACCACCAACAGCGAGACCCCTACTCGGGCAGCTGAGCCGCGGTGACACCGTATGGCTGGGAGAAGATGCCGTGGCGGCTCCTACCGGTTTATCAAACCCCGCCACAACGTCCGCGACGTTGTGGAAGAACAGTAGCATCACAGACACGTTGTCCGTGCTGCCGCGATCCACGGCGAACTCGGCGAGTTTCTGACAGCAGTTGTTTAGAGCGCGCCTCGTGGCCTCCGGCGAGGAGCCCACATCCGGTGTGTAGCTCAAAAAGTCGCGCACAAACTGCGTGGCCTCTTCATTCTCCACAACATCCCACAAACCATCACATGCCATGAGGAGGAATTTGCTCGAATCTGTCAAATTGATTTGACGCACATCCGCTACGTTTGACACCATCAGTTCTCGATTCGCAATGAATCGATTGCCGTTGAATTTGAATTCATAGTCCCCTAACGCGCGACTCACCGCAAGGATGCCGCACACCCTACCAAACTGCACAAAGCCACCACACTGAAGAATACGTGTGTGCTCCTTCCTATTGGTAGGCTTATGATCCTCACTCATTGGGATGGTCGTGCTACCATCGTAGAGCACCGCACGAGCATCACCTAAACATGCCACATACAACATCCGCCCGTGAACAGCGGCGGCGATGAGTGTGGAACCTCCACTACTGGTAGAACCAAGGCAGGGCCCACCAACCGTGCCTTTGCCTAGCGCATGGAATATTGCCCGGTCTGCCTGTATGATGGACTCCACAAAAGCTAACGCGTTGTTCTCACCAAGTGCTGAATGGGCAATAAAGTTATCTGGTACTTGCCTCGCTGCCAGTTCCGCCACACGGCGACCGCAGTGCCCATCAAGAATGCCCATCAGCGATACTGACTGCCCTGCAACAGACGCTGCATTAAACCGAACAAAGTGCTCATCCTCCATGGTGGGACGCAGGCCCTGGAGGCTACCCACACCAGATGCCAGCTTGATGGGGGAGTTGAATGACCTTCCTGTGCTCGCTACCACGCGGAACTCGTACTGGAGCCCACTCTTGTTTGCAGAAGCGGTGGTATCATTGGGAGCGCCAACAGGTAACTTGCTAGCACTCGCCACTCTGCTGAGAACACTGCTGCGACTCCCTGGCGCGATGGAGGTCTCCGACGCAAACTTAGGCGACGGAGGCATCCGCGGCGAGGTCAATTGCTGCAGCTTCACAGAAGCTAGCGCAAAAGGCGACGAAGAACTCTTGCCCCACAGCCCGCTGTCACCTTCGGTGTCCGTTGCAAGTTGAGTCCCCACGCCGTTAAGTGTCTGTGTGGTTCCAAACGGGTCTAGAGGCTCCTGTTGTCGCTCACTTGTTTGACGCTGCAATGGTGGCACTGTTTCTATACCGTTCCGCGGCTGCGTAAACGCGAGGGCGGGTCGCGGTGGCATCGGCGTCAGCGTCAGTCGCTGGGTGCTATTGGCGTTCAAAGCGAATTGAATGGGGCGTACGCCCACCTTCGGGCCGCCGCTGCCCGGTGGGTGCGGCCGCTGCGGAAGTGCCTCCCCGCCGTGATTCGCCTGCGCACGCGTCGACGGCGGGCCGGAGAACACCTTCCGTGTGCCACCGTTTCCCCAGCGATCACCATTCATGAGCGTAGAGCCGCCAAGAACGGCAGCCACGTTGTCGCTCGCGTTGCGCTTAAAGCTGGTCTTCATCGGCGGTCGACGTCCTACGATACCACGACCATTAACGTTGCCCGGTCCCTCGCCACTAACCACAGGGCCGCTGCTGCCCTCATTATCATGCACGGCGCCAGTGTGAGTGCTGCTGNCACTAACCACAGGGCCGCTGCTGCCCTCATTATCATGCACGGCGCCAGTGTGAGTGCTGCTGTTGTTGCGGTTGGTACTATTTCTTGTCGGCTCACTCAGTTTGCCATGCAGAAGACTCCCCGAAAATAGTGTGTTGGTGGTCTGGTACGGCAAGGCGCTCCCACGCTGTGAATTACCCATTAATGGGTTGCCACTGTTGCGACGTGCGTAATTGCATGGGGGGACGGTCTTGGGTACAGAGGGCACAACACCATGCACAGTGTGTTCCGCCGTCCCTGCATCGTTCTTGCGCAGCGTGTTGGGCTTTGCCGATCCTTTTGCGGAAGAAAGTGGTGGTTTCCTCACCGACATGTACATCACAGCAATGCCGTTTTAAAAGCCTATTCAGGAGGAAGGCTACCTCTTCACCCTCAATTATTTTGGTCTGCGTTCGTCTTTTTGCTTCTATTTTCTCTTTCCTTCTTATTGTTGGCTCGCCTCACCTGCCCTCGTCAGCCCCCTTTGTACAGTGCACGCAATCTGCACCTTTCTCCTGTCACGGCCGCCGTTGCAGCAGCACACCAGTCCCTCTCTCGCTCGCTTACTCGCCCACTGCTTCTTCCTTGCTCCACACAGAAGTGGCGGCAGACAACAGCGACGACGGCGGTAGTGGTGACGATGTTGATGGTGGAGAGTTACTTCTTTTCCGATCCCTGCCAACGCTATGAAACCTTCAACCTGGGGGCGCACTCCCACGAGAAAGAATACCCCAACGAGAGTGAGTGCAAAAGCAAGAAATGAATACGATGCTCCAGAGGCAAGGCACTGGGCAACCAAGATGCCGTAGATAACAACAACGTACACAAGAAATGTGAACATGGAGACAATGTGTGTATACCTGCGACCCGATGATTACCTTCTTCTTCCACTCACGCTCACATCTTCGCCGCAGAGGCGTGGAATAGGACGAGAAACGGCAGCAGCACCAAAAAATAAAGATCACTCCCCACACAGACACACACACCTTCACAGGATGAAGACCAAAGCGGTCCGGCAAAGATTGAATACAGTTTTTTTTTTTGTTTTGAGCGGTGAACAGAACCACATGGTAGTAACCGCGATCGGTGCCTCTTCCCCACTTGACGCCCCTACACACCATTTGTTCTAAATCCTTTTGTGTTCCTTCCCTATCACTCGCTCGCTCGCTTTTTCTCCATGTTCTTCCCACTCAGTCTTAATTTCATGTGTCTTCGGCACTATTATTGCGGTGCTTGCCCTTACCAAACTCGCGCCCTACTTTGGGCAGTACCTCCACCTGCCTTGGCGCGCCGACCACGCCGTGCACCATCAACTCCCGGCGAAACACAATGCCAAGCGCCGTCAGAGCCACAAAGGAGAAGAACAGATCGCGTTTGTAGATCTGAAAGAGGTTGACCACTCTCTGCTTGAAAGACGTAGCGCTTCCCTTTGCAAAACTGTGCGTCATTATCTTCAGCTCCTATTTCTCCTTCCTTGGCACGGATGGACTACTCTGCTACGTCAATAGAGGGAGAAAGAAGGGCAGCGCTACACAAAGCCAGCTCCAGTTGTACGCGCTCGTGTACCAATAACAGTTCCACTTCAGTATGCGTACGCATATCACGTCAAAGAAACGGAGAGAGGAGAGTAAAGAAAAACTAACAGCTGATTCAGTCTTCTCTGCGGATAATTTCTGCATCATCTGTTGTCTGTCGAATCGAGATGGTAATCATCAGGCTCAGCGGTGAGAAGGTGAGTGGCTGCCAATATCTTCGAGTGGGGTAACGCCGCAACTGTTCATGGAGGAGAACTCAATCTGCAGCTGACTGCCCAATCGTGGCAAGAAACGAGCACGCCATGTGTGCCATGTGCATTTGGGTAGATGGGGTGTGTGAAGGAAAGGGGATGCGGGGTTAACGATGGCTCAGTCTTCTCTGCGGATAATTTCTGCATCATCTGTTGTCTGTCGAATCGAGATGGTAATCATCAGGCTCAGCGGTGAGAAGGTGAGTG